GTCTCCTGCCTCAGCCTCCCAAGTAGCTGGGACTACAGGCGCCTGCCACAACGCCTGGCCATTTTTTGGTTGCAGCCATCATTGTTTGGTGGGCCCAGGCTGGGGATTCGAACCCACCACCTTAGGTGTATGTGGCTGGCTCCTTAGCCGCTTGAGCCACAGGCGCTGAGCCTTTTTAATTATTTTTAATTAAAATTTTATTTTAATTTTTTTTTGAGATAAGAGTCTCACTATGTTGCCCTCGGTAGAGTGCTGTAGGGTCACAGCTCACAGTAACATCAAACTCCTGGGCTTAAGCTATTCACTTGCCTCAGCTTCCCAAGTAGCTGGGACTACAGATGCCCACCACAATGCTTGGCTATTTTTGTTGTTGTTCTCATTGTTGTTTAGCAGGCTCAGGCTGGGTTGGACCCCACCAGCCTCAGTGCCTTTGCCGGTGCCCTAACCATTGAGCTATGGGTGTGGAGCTGAAAATTTTATTTTTTTAAAATAAAACTTTAAATTATTTTTATATATGTACAAGTTTCAATCAGTCAATTGTAGATGAGCCAATTTCTGCACATGGGCCTCTTTTGAAAATGACTTTTTGAGACATCTTGCCAATGGTTAGCCATGAAGGAGAAGTTTTATTTGAGTCTTGTTCTTTGTGAATCTTTTTATTAGGTGAAAAGACTGGTTCGTAGGAAAAACATACTAAAGAATTTTGTGACTTGAACTAATCTAGACTCTTTCCCCAGATGATATTGCTGATAGGATGAGGATGGATGCTGGAGAAGTAACTTTAGTGAACCACAACTCCATATTCAAAACTCACCTCCTGCCACAAGCAGGTTTTCCAGAGGACCAGCTTTCACTTTCTGACCAGCAGGTTAGGAATAATTTTCTTCCATTAATTATTTTGGTTCATCATAAATTTTTATCTAATGTTGTTTAAAGCCACACTCAAAAATACAAGTATGTGTACATTTCTTATAATTAACAATTATTGTCTTTAGAATTCTGCTTGATACATTAAAGTTAAGACAAAAAAGGTAGGCCAGGTGTGGTGGCTCATGTCTGTAGTCCCAGCATTCTTTGGAGGCTGAAGTGGGTGGATTGCTTGAGCTCAGGAGTTTGACACCAGCCTGAAGAAGAGTAAGACCCTATCTCTTCTTAAAAATAGAAAAGTAAAAAGAAAAAAATAGAAAAGAAACTAGCCAAGCATTGTGGTGGGTGCCTGTAGTCCCAGTTATTCAGGAGGCTGAGGCAAGAGGATTTCTTGAACCCCAGAGTTTGAGGTTGCTATGAGCTACGATGTCACAGCACTCTAACCAGAGCACAGCGTAAGACTATGTTTCAAAAAAAAGAAAATAAGAAAAGACAAACCAAGCTATATATGAGTTCCTTGAGAACAGTACCTTTTGGAAAACTCTTCATTGTTCCCCTGAATATTATAATTACCAATACACAGGTCATTGTTCTTCTCTATAGTATTGATATGTACATGTAATGGGTGTCTATGACCTATGAAAATTAGGTCATCTTAAGGGGTCAGTGTAGGGAGGTAGTCAACTATGGAAGTTCCACTGTATTTATGCTATATATAATTAATTATGAGTTCTAGATATGTTATGGTCTTATTTAAATATATATTTTTCCTAGTATAAATTTTTATTTTGTTGTCAAAAATGTGATTTAAGAAAAATCTTTTGCTTTGTTTAGATTTTACCTTCTGGGCAAGGAAATTTGGACCGATCTTTTACATGTTCCATAAGAAGTGCAGCTTATAACCCAAGTTATTTCTCAGGTATGACACATTACTTGGAGTCAAGGCACTTATACCTTTCAGATTTCTTCTTTGTAAATAGTTTGTTTTTATCATCTCTAAAAGTAAAAACATTATTAAAAGCAAAATGATATTTTCTCTATTTTTGTCATTTTTATCATTTTAAAAGCTTCTTATGTGTATGTATGTGGTTGCTATAATACTTTAATAATCGAGTCTCAACCAAATATTAGTTTTTTAGTGGGAAAGTATTTTTGGAATTATTCTACTCATCTATTTGCCATTGTAAATAACAATATAGCTTTGTTTTTGCTTTTTACTTTTTTGGTGAATGTGTGTATATGATATAAAGGGTATTTATTTGCATTAATTTAAACCACAGAGCAAATTTATTTCTATCTTGCTTGAAACCATGAAACCTGAAAATTTACTTCTGCCCAAGCTTGTTCCTCTCTCAGGGCTGGAAATGTTAATTACACGTTTCTGTCTAGTACCTGCCACAGCCATATGCTTGCATATTCGAGGGCTTGCCTGTTGAGTTTGTGATCCATGACAGAAGTCAGCATTCTCTAGTCTAGGCTGTTCCTGTCCCGTGGTCTGCCTGACTTATCATCTGCCACCTTCCTAAGGTTTGAACTTCCAACATCTTCTGTTTCTGCCTTGGGAGACTCAGAGTTTTTGTTGGTAGACTTTTAGCACTAGGACTTAAATTATAGTAGTCTTCCAAAGTCTTTTCACTCCTCATGCTTCAGTCTCCTCACATACCACAAATATAGGGATACTTGTAATACCTACCATTGAACCTGTTTCAATGGGATTTTTATAAGGATAAATTGAGATGATAAATATGAAATGCAGATAATAATTCTTATTATTTGGCTTCCTCAGGATTATTTGTCAGCAAGATGAGATCTTTCCTAAAAAGATGTTAGCATGATGCTCCTTTAGATTTATATTATATATAATTGTTATTTAGCTATGTGGTACTTTATTTACGCAGGGTACTGAATTTCCTTTCTTGGTATGGGCAGCAGTCTCCACATAGTATATGCATAATTTATAGAGAAAAATCGGTTTTCTCAGAGAGTAACTCTATATCATTATTGAAAAGGCCTTTTTGATGAATGGAGAGCCTGAAATCTGGTTTGATAGCTTGTTATTAATCCTAGAGGGATTAATGAAATCAGATCATCAGTATTTCTATTACAACTCAGGCTAGGTTTGCTTATAATTTCATATGCCAGTTTGCCATTGGATAGTATCTTTGCTTTAAGTTTAAAGTAATTGCTTAATAATAAACAATTATATAGAAGATTACACTCAAAGTCCCCTGATTATAATTCAGTTCTTATTTATTTATTTATTTATTTATTTATTTGAGACAGGGTCTCACTTGTCACCTGTGGTGGAGTGCTGTGGTGTCACAGCTCACAGCAACCTCAAACTCTTGGGCTCTAGTGATTCTCTTGCCTCAGCCTTCCAAGTAGCTGGGACTACAGGCACACTCCATAGTGCCTGGCCTTTTTTAGAGACAAGGTCTTGCTCTGGCTCAGGCTGGTCTCCAACCCGTGAGCTCAGGCAATCCACCTGCCTCAACCTCCCAAATGCTAGGATTATAGATGTGAGCCACCGTGTCCGGCATTCAGTTTTTATTTAACCCAGGTCTTTGGCCTCTTCTGGTTATCTGTGTGTGCATGGTACACACTGTATGATTTGACACATACAGTATTTTTTTGAATTCAATATTTTTAATTTTATATTTTTATGTATTAATATATTCTTCATATTTACCATTTTCTCTTAATTTCTGATCTGTGAAGTTGACATGTACATTCATAATCCCTTATGTACAATTTCGAAACTCCCAAAGCTTTAAAAACAAAACAAAAAATTTATGAATCATTTGGTATTAAACCTAACTTGTAGGGTGGTGCCTGTGGTTCAAGGTGTAGGGTGCCAGCCCCATAGGCCGAGGGTGGTGGGTTCAAACCCAGCCCTGGCCAAAAAAAAAAAAAAAAACCTAACTTGTATTTATTCCTCGGCAAAACCTATATTAACTGACATGAAACTGTTTATATTTTGTCTTTATTTACCTATATAAATATGAGTATTTGCACATTTTGCTGCAAATTTTTCAGTATGTTTGATTAAACAGAGTACTCTTCCACATTATAATACTTGAAATTATTACATGGTATACCTGGATACCTTTCTAAAATTCCAAACATTTTAAATTCAGAATTGCAACTGGACCCAGGGGTTTATGATTTGTGATAATGGGCCTCTGCCTTCCTTTGCTTCATTTTCTGTATGGTTTAGGTGTACTTTCACCCTTAACTACTTTTAGCTATTATTAATAACATGACTTTAAAACATTTGTATACGTAGCTTTTCTCTTTTAAATTTCAGAAGACCTTTGATATTCACA